GGTTGGTGGATGGCGAAAAGCAGAGCATGGAAAGTATGTGAGGAATATGGGGAACATACACACCACTTCGGGACGAGTTACAACTGAAGCACATTCTCACTGTCAGACATAATCCTATAAGAGAAAAGGAGGGCGTTGGCGGCTATCCTTATAGAAACTCGACAAAAAGTAAACCTAAAGAAAGCAAATGACATATTTATAAGAGTAGATGTAAGGAGGACTAGAGAAACAACCATAACCCGATTAATAAGGCCGTTCAGCCCCCCTTGCCTCCCTCCCTGACAGTCTAGTCGTCTTCGTTGGAACAACCGCCAGTTCAGTAGAGCCCGCATTTGCCACTGGAAGCACCAAGAAGCCGAAATTGAAGACTATGAAAGAATAACAAGTTCACAATATAACACTAAATTTGATCCATCTTTCACTTTCATTATCTATTGTTTTGAATATCATGAATGAGAAAACTATAGTAGATCTCATAGATGCACTAACAAGCATGTATGAGACACTTTTATTGATGATTACATTAGGAAGGTATGTGTGTAATTTTGAAAACATAAATATGATGTGTTTGAGGTGTTTAAAAAGTGTTCGACTATAATTGAGAATGAGACAAACTAGAGATTGAAGTGCAAATCAGATAATGGCGTGAATCACATAATCAGAGGTTCAAAAATTATTGTGCTTCAAAAGGAATCAAACATGAATTCAATATATCAAGGACGTCACGAAGAAAGATTGTGATTGAGCGCATGAATAAAATAATCAAAGAGCCCGCCAAAAGTATGAGATTACTAGCAGGCTTGCTAAAATAATTATCAACAAAAATAATGAATACTGCAGTTTTTCTGATAAATCATGATTTGTCAGTACCTTTGAATAGAGACTTACCAAAAAAAAAACCTAGAGTGGAAAAGAGGTAAATCTATCTTACCTGAAAGCATTTGGTTATTCAACATATGTTCATATTGATGCAGAATTCAAGAGTAAGCTTGATTTAAAATCTTTCAAGTGTGCTTTTATTTGACTCAAATGAATTTTGGCACAAATTCTAGAACTATCAAAATCAAAATTACATTAGGAGTATGGATGCAACTTTTAATGAAATGGAGATGTAAAATAACAGAAATATAATTCAGGATTGTACATCAGTTACTTCTAAAAACCATTACAAATATGTTGAGATAGAAAATATCTGTGATTGAAAAGAAGAAAAAAGGAGAAATGTTCAATTGGATGAAACACATTAAGTTTCTCAGACATCCACTAATGAAGTTTGGACATCCAACAAAATGACAAGACCGATAGAGAGGTGTTCTCCTTCATTGTGCTATTTATTAATGATTGATGGTGGTAACCGAAGTGCTATAAAGATTCTACTCAATTAGAAGTCTCGAAGTGAGAGTTTTTCATAAATAATGAGATGCAATCTTTAATGTCAAATAAAAAACAGATGAAGAGAAAGAGCTATGCAACAAGTGAATTTACATGCTAAAAGAAAAGTTAGATGACATCAAAAGCTACAAGATTAGGCTTGTTTGGAAGCGGTTTCACAAAAGAAAAGAGTGGACTACTCAAAGATATTTTCTTCTGTAGTGAAGATGTCAAGTATCAGAATTATATTGAGATTGGTAGCATATGAAGATAAACATCTAGAACATATAAATGTGAAGATAGCTTTCCTACATGGAGACATAGAAGAGAAATTGTATATGGTGCAGCCACAAGAATATGAAGTTCTAGAAAAAAAAAATATAAGGTCTGTAGACTAAAGAAGTGAAATTATGGTTCGAAGCCCAAAGACTATGATATAGTTTATCTCAGACACTTGGTACATAAAGTGTCGAGTAGATCATTGTTGCTTCATTAAAAAATTTAATAAACGCTATGAAGCTTCTTTTGTATGTGGATGACATACTGATTACAAGAGCATATATGGAGAACATTAAAGACCTAAAGAAGCAATTATCAAGTGAGTTTGAAATGAAAGATTTAAAGCAACCAAGAAGATCCTCGATATAAGAATCAACAAGAACATGAGTGTGAGTACGATGAAGTTGTCTCAGGCGGTATATCTTGAGAACGTCCTATATAGGTTCAAAACTAGTGAGGCAAAACTAGTTTGTACCCCTTAGATAGTCACATCAAACTATCTAAGGAGCAATCACTTACGTTTTAAGTAGAGCAAGTACAGATGAAAAAAACCCCCCTATGCCTCAGCAGCTAGAAGTTTGATGTGTGAAAGTGGCGAGCAGGTGAATGAGTAATCCGAGTAAACATAATTCGGAGGCAGTGAAGTGGATTCTCATATACTTGAAAGGAATGGTCAACAAGACACTTTGTCTTAGAAGTGCATGAAATAATCTACAGAGATATATAGATTCATTTTTGATAGGAGATATTGATGGAAGAATAAATACAATTTATATCTTCATTTTAGGGAACATAATAGCGATGGGTTTTCAGGTTAAAGAAGATAATTGCAATGTCTATTACAGAAACTGAGTACATTGCTATCACTAAGACTAACAAGAAGATGATTTGGCTATAAGGCTTCATCGTAGAACTGCACAAGAGCAAGACATTGGAAAACATCATTAGTGACAGTATGAATGCTATTTATCGAGCAAAAAACGTCGTTTTTCATGCCAGCACAAAACACATTCAGCTAATGTATCATTTCATCTGTTCGCTCCTGAAAGATGGTCAATTATCTTTTGAATAAGATGCACAGCTCAGAATCTTGTAGATATATTGACTTAAGGCTATTACAATAGAGAAATTGAAGCTATATTTGGCTTCAGTTGAAGTTCAAGAAGGCTGAGACCAAAGTTGAGCCAACACTATAGTACATTACTATTAAAATAATACAGATCTAGAGAAGATAAATTGATTGCAATCAATCTCCAAGAGGGAGAATGTTATTTGTCGAGGTTGATTATGTCAAAGAAGTCAGAACCAACACCTACACCGACACCCCTGTATCTGAGTGCAGTGCCTAAGCATTGCAATTAGGGTCTCCTAGCGCCTGGTTGGGCACTCCAATGTCAGTGTAGGCGCCCTTGAGCCCAAAAACTTGGCACCCAGGTGCCTGTAACCGAATTTCGGGATTTAAGTCCTCACTTTTTGTTGCGGAAAAAAAAGTGACTGCATGTTGAATTTGGATTCCACAAATTCTCTTGTGCCAAAGAGAAAAGAGTTCAAGAGTTCCAGGATTGTAGAAAAGCTTGAGTGTAGTGTAATCTATGCTATTTCTCCTTTTTTTCATAATGAATTTTTTTGGTATGGTGTAGCTTCGTAATTTTTCCCCGTTCTTAGATGTTTTCACTTTAAATCATAGTATTTTTTATGTTCTTTGTGTTTCCATATTTATGCGCTTAGTTCAAAGTTTTGCTTCGAATCTCTTGAATTAGTGTTTCAACGATTTTCGATTTCCTCACAACACAAAATTAAACAATCAACATAATTAAACTATCCTCATAAACTCATCGTAGGCTTTTTCTCAATGTATTTACTATATTAGTGGCTTCTCAACATGTATAGTAAAATGGTCACCAAATTTAACTCTTTAGAGGAATCACCCATTACACTAGTATGGATATCATTTCCTCATATTAGGCTACATTAATTCAATCAATCCTCATTATAGCCCTTCGAATCAATATTTGGCCGAACCCTTACAAGTAGAAAATGCTACTATATGTTTCTCAAAACTTGTGGTGGCCCATGTATTAGTTGAGCTAGATTTTATTTCACTTCATAAAGGAAGTGTGAATTGACCCCTATATTTATGGGCATTAGCATAAATAGAATTTTAAGGCATTTCATCCTATTGCTCGTTCGGCATAATTTTTTTTATCATAATATTTCAATAAATGTTTCAAGCCACATCTAAAACTAAATAAATCGTTAAACATAAGAGGTATTAAAGCAGAACCAAACCAACCTACGATCAAGTTTACAATTAAAATGTGAGAACAATTTTTCCTATGAGTATCAAGGATCTTCCTCCTTTCCTGTCATACAATGATAGCATAATATCAGTGCCTAGCCTAAGAGGCAATTTAGTTTTTTATTATTTATTATTGTTTAGTATAAATAAACCCTAATATGTTTAGGGTAAGGGTAGCATGAGATTATTGTTGTGAGTTTTAGGGTTTGGGAGAAAATTTTTACCTCTCGAATTGTAAGAATTTGGAGAGATCGCCTACCACTCGAATTGTAGGAGCTTATTTTTGTATCTGTCATGAGTATTTGATGATGCTGCAATAAAATATATGTTGCCCTAATATTTGCAAGAAATATGTGGCGGATCGTATCACATAGTTTTTTCTTTAGCCATGCATCTTTTATATGATTTAGATCCCCACTAACAACAACATATCCCATAACGTCTCAGAGTTATGAACACAATGCTAATTGTGGTGCTTTTCAGTCGTATGTCACGTATGAGAATACTTGTTATTGATTCGCTAGTGGAAGAAAGGTTTCAGTTTCTAATTATTAGGTTAGTCAAAAATAAATGATAATAACAATATATTGTCATTCCTCTATCTTCACCAGAGTTCATGCCACCTATAATTTTCGAGTATCTAATAATTTAGTTGTTCAGGCTTTCACTTTGTCATTTTCCTTTCTCATGTTATTTTTCTTTTTCTCTAACAATTCTAGCTAATAACCCATATGCATATAATTTTTTCTCATAATATTTAGGTTTAAAAAAAAGTTCGGTGAAATGATGTACTCTCATGCTTATCAGCAGGAAAGGTAAGGATCAATAGGTATTTACCAATTGCAAATCATAGTTATTAAATTTCAATAACGAGATAGAAGTTGTTAAACATTACTAAATAATTTCTAAAAGATAGATACAAAGAAGGAACTTCTGCCATATTCTTTATGCTCTTTTATCAGCAGAAATATCAATTCAAGAAAATAAAGGAATCAGATTTCTCTTCAACAGCATTCATTACGTTTCTACAAAGCTTCGAACAGATCCTTACCATCTGATTTTGATTTTGATCTTTCATGAAATGGTAAACATGAATCAAACGATCCTGTGGTCCAAGACTTTTCTCTTCCTCTGGTATCTGCACAACAGGCAGAAGCTTATTACATAATCAATGTGATGTACAGAACATACAAGCAAAAATCAAATGCATATAAATAAAAATGACAGTTCAAATGAAAAAAAATAAACCAACCATATCAGGCTTACCTCTTCAGCACGTAGAGTCCAGTACTGATCATTTATGTTTTCTATCTTTTCATTAGGTGGAAAGATCTGCAGCAAGAACAAAGAATTCCAAGAAGAGATAAATGGTGTCACAAAATAGAACAGTTGACAGTAGAATTAAGTCGCAGCAAATTTAAAAATGCTATTGATTGTGATATCTCAAAATATTATAATGCACATCCATCTCAAATCATAATCAGGAACTGGTAATATCAACAATATACTTCCCAACATTATACCATACATTACGCATGATAATATGCAATAACAGTGAGCTTTGCTCAGCTGCAATTACATGGTGCAGGTAACAAACGGTGTGGATGACAAGAGTTAGGTGTTCACAACAAGTTATCCTCCTGCAAAAAGAGCCCAGGTGACTAAGGAGGCAAAGAAGTTTAGATAGGTAAAACAGCGAAGGCGGCGGAATAGATGTTCCACAAAAGGAGGCATGGCTCTCAAATTCTTTATGAATTAGAGAGCTGAAATATGTCCACAATGGGTAGAAACATGGCCCATAGATTGATACTAGACCAATAGTGAACTTCAAAGACCAGTTGATTTTATTTCATACTAAGATAATGACCATGGAGACCACAATTTCTTTTTTTATGGGACAAGGCTGAAGAATAGAGGCTTGAGCTGAGAATCAAGGGAGAAACACACCAAACCCCTGGATGTAGAGGACAAGGCAATGCAAGGTCAGTTAGTGGAGATGGAGTTTGTGTTATAGTAGGTCAATGCAATGTGGAAACTAATTCCTCAAAAATAGTGGAGGATTTCAAGAAACCTATCACTGCAAGATCCAAGATAGTGCTCAAAAGGCCCCTCGCAAGATAGTCAAGTCGGAAATGAAATGATCAGAGATGCAATGCCTTGAGGAAGGGTTCATCAAAGACCTCCTTAGGAGAATATACTTGATGCAGCAAAGGACCAAGGCTAACAATGAAGAGCTTATTGTAAACCAAACGTTTAGGGACTCTTCTAAAAATAAACTGAAAAGACAATTATGATTAATGCAATCCAAATGTTTCCATAATCTTCTTCGAACTAAGAGCAAGCGAGCAAAAATTATCTCAGATAAAGTTTACGGTGCAGACATTATATAATTGCTTTGGGAATTGTTTTTACGTAATAAGAGTTCTATGATGTCCCACGTTTCATATATGCCAAATGGTCATTACTAATGAAAGATCTCTGTTTCGCTCAACTTCTGTGTGTATTATTTTCTACTTTATGAACTTAGCACTAACTCTTATGATTCTATCTTACTGGAGAAAAAATTTTCTGCAGTGTTTATGAACATGTCAATTCAAGATTTTTTTAGAGCAAAATTATTTTGTTCAAGCTTTAAGAAATATTGTTAACTTTAAGGTGCCCTGCAGACTGATCTTTGACCAATTTGACTGGCAATGAGAAATTTCCCCGTTAAGTGAGAAAATGGAGTTTTTCTAATGATCTATGTTGGAAAGCTGATTTGATGAACATCATGGAAAAACCAAAATTGTCAAATTCTGATACTTGGTCACCAAGCAAAACTGTGATTCTCAATAACAAACCGTGCAAATTGGTATATTCATTAAATATTACAAAAAGTATATTGAACTCTTGATCTATTGGAAAGACAAATCAAAGAAAAAATAATGGTCAATCTGTCAAAATGTTTGGACATCTGGTCCAACTAATTTGAATTTTAAAAAATATGAAAGAGACCCTTTAGCCTTGAAGGATTCATCTTATGCCCCGGTTAGAAAGTTTTACTGGAAACCATTCCAATCATAACAACAAGGGAAAATACCCCTACATCTCCTCATTCCAATGTGATAATGATTAGAAGTTAAGCCATAAGACTTTATACATAGTTTACTGGTTTTTAGGTCATAGCTTGACCAAGCTCACAGAATATTAGCCAAGCCTATTATACATGATGCAGAAGATTAGAGAACATTACCAAAGAAAATTTAGCCAATTCCAAGATGTCAGCTAGAGATGCTATTCTATGACTTTCCCTCGTGATGAAAGGAGCCAAGAGAGAGAAATCTATCAAAGATTTTTTGCCCACCTTAATTGTCTGTGAGCACGTTACTCAAAAACTTGAACCAGTAACGAAAAAGGTTAGGGACACATGACATACCCCAATATGTTAGAGCATTACTCCAGTACCTAAGTGATACCAGAGTTAACCAAATCACAACAAAAAAAAATTATTATTACTGAAATTCAACAACGGTTACAACCAATATTTTTGAAAAAAGGAAATAAATGACAACCGACGCAGACAACAGAGGGAAAACACTAAAGGATGCAGCACATAAATCCTAATTTGGGCGAGGGCGCAAGAAGGAGAGGAAGGGGCGGTTAGGACAACCGAAGAAAGGTGGAGTCGTTGGGTGGGGTAGGAATGTTGAGGATTACAAAAGGGAGAAAACAGGAAGGGGAGTCTTGGCTGTAGGTTACGGCAAGGAGAGACAGAAAGGGAAGGCTAGTCGTAGGTTACGAAAGGGTGGTTGTAGGTAACTTGAGGATGGTTGTAGGTTATAGCAGGGATGTTAATCTGAGGATGATCTAGGTTACTTGAGGATGATCTAGGTTACAGAGTTTTTCTAATGATCTATTAGTAATATGGTGCAACTGCAATCATATTACTCTCTACTCGAAGTACGGAACTTAGCATTGAAGGTGGAGAAGTAACGTCACTAGGAGATCGCCACAACATACAGATAGTTCAACTCCAAGATTGGGCAACTAGTTTATACCTAGTAGAGTACCCCCCTTCCTTGTTGGAGGTGACATCCTGTGTCTCCTTCCGTCGTCAGTTCTTAGATCGGTAATATTTATATCTCAATTGGTTGTCAAAGCAGAAAACTCTTATATCATGTATCTTTTATTTTATTAGTGCATCTCTCCTTTGTGTTGATTATTTCTTTTTCCTTGAATTATTTTCTTGGTTGTTATTGATGAATCTTCTCCAACCTCCCTTCTTCGATATAAGGAATAGGAAGGGAATGATATGTGAGATTGATGACTTTTGGAGGACAATAAGCCATTTGGCAGCTGTCCCAACAAAATACAGCGAATTGGACCTCAAAATGGTGATGTTCAGATGGCGAGGAGGTCTGTCACCTATTCCTGTATATGCTACAAACACATCACTTTCAAAAGGAAGATGTTACAACACTCCTCGTGTTGTGATATATATATAATAATAGAACAATCAACGACGAAGCGAAAAATAAATAGAAAATTCACACCATAAAACAGTAACACAGCGGAACACACAGATTTACGTGGTTCGGCAAATTGCCTACGTGGATTAGAGGATTTTACTACTTGAGAAATTTACACCAATCAATCATTTTGACTTACAAGAGGGATATCTCACTTCTTTGCTTTCTCTTCTTCTCTTTCTACACCGAGATACACCAAAGAAGAAAAACTTATAAGAGAAATAAACCAAATTCCTCTTCTGTCACAAGCCACCAAGAAAAAATCAAGGGAGAACAATCTTCTTCTTCTTCTTTCTTCTTCCTTCTTCCTTCTTCCTTCTGCCACAAGGAACTATTCCTTGCCCTTTTCTTCCTCTATCCCGAGGAAGCATAACTGCCAAAGAAGAACAGAAAAAAGGCGTGTAAAACCTGAAGGAGAGACGCTCCTTTTATCGCAAATAAGAGGCGGGAACGGTTCGCGAACAGCAGGGAGAGGGAGAGGTTTGCGTTTGACGATCGGGAGCGGGAGATGTCGTGACGTTTCGCGACAGAGGAGCGGGAGCGGGAAGGCAGGATCGGTCGGACCGGGCTCCATCTTAACAAATCTCTCACTTGGAGACCGATACACATACTACAACATCTTCTTCCTCAAATTGATATCCTTCAATGGCGGCGTCGCCCTTTTCTTCAAACATTTATCCCCAACCTCTGCAACTCAAAGCCTCTTGTCTTTACAACAGAAGACCAACTAAAGCTGCGCACAACTTCAATTTCTCAACACCCTCGGTCAACATATCAGTAGGATCAACATAGCCTTACACCTTCAAACTATTCCTGTGTTACTCATGTATCTACTTGCAACTCCCACTGCATGGGTAATATCTTCTCTGTTGAAACTCTTTTTCAACAAGTCTAGTCTTGTATCTCTTACTGTCATCAAGCTCATTATTCACCTGATACACTCACTAGTTGTGTAATACATTCTTCCCCGGTGGAAGTTCTGTCAGCTCCTACTTGCTCGAATTTTCATTTTGCAAGATTTCTTCATAGCTCAGTGTTTCTCCAGCATCTGTCTGTGGAACAATAGGAATGGGTGCCCCGGACCCACTCTTCTCTTCACTTCCATCACTGTCTTGCATTGTGGCCTCTCGTGGATTAATTCCTACCCCATTCAAAGCTTCTCTATTTGTCAGATATACTTTCCCAAAGTCACCTGCAACATAATTTCATATCAATTCCCGATGGAATGTTGTATGGAAAGAAGCCCCTGAATCCAATATTCAGTTATCAACAAAACTATGAATTGTCAACAGTAGTGCATCATATACTTCTTCAGATACCACATTTGCTCTATCATTTGTCATCTTCTTGGGATTCCTACAGTTCCTCTATATGTGGTCAGTCTTGCCTTCCAGCAGGTTCTTTGTTCACCAGACTTTGATTTTGATCTCCCTCTATTTGAGTTTTTGTCTTGCGCACCTCCTTAGCCAAAATCAAATCACGAATATCATCATATTTCAGGTTTAGATTTACCTGCAAAACTGCTAACTGACATTCTCATGGCTTCCTAACTATTTGACAATGATGTCAACAATATCAGCGCACGTATCTCATCATCAAAATCAATTTCAACAGACGACAATTGATTTGTGATAGTATTGAAATCATTTAGGTGTTGAGCAATTGACACACATTTCGCCATATTCAAGTTGAATAACTTCTTCATCAAGTACAACTTGTTATTCGCCGATGGCTTTTCATACATATCTGATAAGGCTGTCAGGAGATCTACAGTCGTCTTTTATTTGACGACGTTGTGTGCAACAGACCTCGATAGGGCCAATCGAATAACCCACAGAACTTGTCGATCCAACAAATTTCATTCAGCTTCATCTATCATTTCATTTCTTTTCCCCAATAACATAAGATGAGGTTTCTTCTCATAGACGTGGTCCTCTATCTACATTCTTCAATGACCAAAATCTGTGTCATTAAATTTCCCGATCCCTAAAACCTCCACTCCATCTGCAGTCATCGTCTTCACTCATATCTGAAACAACGGGCTTTGATACCAGTTGTTGTGGTATATATATGAACGATAGATGAAAAAACAAAAAATAGAACGAGAAAATTCACACCAGAAAACGGTAACACAGCAGAACACACAAATTTACGTGTTTCGGCAAATTGATTACGTTCACGAAGTTACAGAGGATTTTACTACTTGAAGAGCTCACACCAGTAGATCGTTTTGAATTACAAGAGAGATCTCTCACTTCCTTGCTCTCTCTTCTTCTCTTTCTACACCGAGATACACTGAAGAAGATAAGATTACAAGAGAAATAAATCAAATTTCTCTTCTGTCACAAGCCACCAAGAAGAAGCCAAGAGAGAACAATCTTCTTCTTTCTTCTTCCTTCTTCCTTCTTCCTTCTTCCTTCTGTCGCAAGGAACTACTCCTTGGCCTTCTTTTCCTATATCCCGGGGAAGTAGAACTGTTGAAGAAGAACACAAAAAAGGCCGTGTAAAATCTGAAGGAGAGCCGCTCCTTTTATTGCAAAGAAGAGGCGGGAGCGGTTTGTAAAATTTGGCAATAGGGAGCGGGAGATGTTGCAACGTTTCGCGATAGAGCAGCGGAAGCGGGAAGGCAGGATCGAAGGACCGGGCTCCATCTCAACACCTCGGTGTAGAAAACAAAGAATACAACATCTTAAATACCAAAATAAAAGTTGTCTCAAAACAACCAAATATAGTGTATAAATAACATCCTACAAAAATAACTCTAATTAGAAATAAAGAAATATGAAAAACCATAAAAGAAAACTGTTGGCCGCTTCTCACAATAATGGAATTTTTTGTGATCTCATGATCCCACATAATTGTGGGATTCTCCAGCACCCACATCACTTCTACGGGGATTTTCAAGTGTGATGGAAGATTAATGGAGTCTTAGAACTCTTACGGGAATGTATCAAACCCACAGAATGATTCAACGGCTGAATAGAACTTCTTAATGAAAAGAAAGCAACATAAAAATATGGAATATAGCACAACTGAGCTCCTATTCTCAATCATGATCCCAATTGAATCCCAACAGAGGTAGTTAATCCTAGCATAATCCTGATGCAAAGGCTGAATGCCCAAATTAAAGTTGATGCAAGTAATGGAGTGGTGAGTATAGAACTTCTACACTAGTTCTCAAAAAGGGCAATAAGAACTTTGTTTGATAGCAACGGTCCTCTAACCCAGCCACCTATCACCTTAGTGATGCCTGCCATCCAACCGCCAACCAACCTACCAGCCTCCTGCTACCCAGCTGCCATCTCCTTGCCCTCCTCCCCTGTAGCCCTGTCGCTTTTTTCTGCAGTCCACTTTGTTGCCCCCCTTTCAGAACTCCATGTCCCCTGCTGCTGCCTCCGAAACCTGCGCTCACTTTGATGTCAACCCCAAACAGTAACTATCGTTGTCTTATTGTTTTCATTCCACAGTCCAGCCGCCCAGGATTGCTGCCATCCCCAAACTGAAACCCCACCAAACCTGTGCTGCTGCTATTACCATCTACGAACACCCCTACCACTATTCCGGCCCCTTACCACGCCGTCCACTCCACGCAGCCAACCACCACCACCCCTAAATCAACCCCTTTTAGGGCCATCTGTGTTTTTGTATCTTATTTTCCCTTTCAAATGTATTTGGTTGTAATCACATATTTGCTTTCCATAATAATATCTACCTTCTATTGTTGTTTATTGACGTTGGGGTTAGCTCTGATATCATTCATGCAAAATCTATAACAAAAAACTTGAATCTAGCCAAAATAGGATGTAGCAACCTGGCATTCGTAGGACTCATAATGACACGACTATGAGCAAAATAAAATTTGTAACCCCAATAAGGAACTCTTGGACTAGCATTAGAGATCATCATGAAGGACTTTGTAATGGACAACATTGATGGGATATAGAAGTAAATTTTCAAATGCTAATGATGAGTTGCACGCTACGTGAATGGAGCAATTAGTGTCATTGGGGTCGTCGTTGAGCTAATGCTCCACTTCTCACAAGTAATAAGAGGTGGTTGCACAAACATCCTCTAGTGGTTTAATACTAGATCCATGACAACGTAGGTAGAATACATATTCCAACAAAGCTATAGCCTGAAGGCCTTGATTGGGGTAACTCATACAAAAAATTGAGGATCTCAGCCTAAAATATTCATAAAATGGACAATCCAAGATGGATGTGTCGATAAATTTTTTTCATTCAAAATTTTTACTGCTGGGAGATGAGGTGTAAGCTTGACATTCAAACAAAGAAGTGTCCACAAATGGTGGGAGGGATTGGGACGTACCTTCGTTGCAGTTGTTACAATTGTTTGTCATTAAGTAAATACATCGTGACATTCATTTGGTCAATAAAGAATGGGACGATGTTCCATAAATGACGTTGAAGTATTGTGTTGTAGAATATTTATGATGGATGAGATAAATTTGAACTAAAGGGTTAAATAAAGATACAAAACACGCAGGTAAATAGAGTACAAAGCACATAAAAGACAAATGTTTTATTTGGAAAACCTAAAAATGAAAAAATAATGGTAAAAAGGGAAGGTTATGATGATCTGTCTTTCTCATAATTAGGAAGGCAAGTTTATAAAGTAAATTTTTCGCCAGGACTCTCTTAAAATGGTGACTAAAAGTGTTGATGCTAAAAATTGATGATAGGAGTCAATCAACGATGAGCAACAATTAGCATTGGTGCTAGTAAACAATATAAACTGAGCAAGGATGGCGTTGCAATATGTCCACTAATGGACATCAAAATTTGAGTGTTAGAGGACAACGGGGGCCAACATCAATCTCTATCTAATATTGAACTCTAAACGATGCAAAACATAATAATTCAAAGGTAAAAAGATGATCCATGCAATCATACTCTTATCAATTAAAGAGATCATTTGACTAAAGAGGTAAAGGAGAAGTTCCGATATGCAAACATCATCGATAAATGATGGAGGCACCAAATGGAGGTCAGCTTTGATGTTCTCCACAAATTTATAATTTCTCTCCGCTTAAATAAAATTTATTAAAAATGACTAGAAATATAGTTTCTTTATAAATTTAGGGGAGGCCATTTCTGCCCTTTCTATCAGAAACTACCAAATCATAGCCTCAAAACAAACAACCGAATTATTTCCTTATATTTCAAAAAGTGGTGGAATACCTCAAATCTTTGATCAACAAGGGGGAGCTATCATTTCAAAGCTCTTAATGCCAAAAATTCAACAAAGCTAATCGATAAAATTTTTGGCATTCAAATGGTTCAAAAGAAATTGGAAAAGACATGAGATTTTATATTATCATTTCCAGAAAATAATACAATATGAAATGATTCTAGTAGGGAATGTTTCATCTAGATAAGAGGAAAACAACGAAACTTACCGCTTTTAAATGGAAAGCAAGTAAGATTATCTAATGCCACAAGAGTGCAAGAGCTTTGAGAAGTTCATATATGCGGGAATAAAGTGCATGCAATCCAAAGCAAGGCATCTCTATCAGAAAGTAGATTTACTCCTCAATGAGATTAGTTTGATGACGTTGGCATGTTGTTGCCGTTGACGCTCAGCCTTGGTAACAAATGGGATCAAGCCTCCAATGGTAAGGGAACAAAGTGCGTGCAATCTAGAGCGAGTTGCCATAATCCGAAGCTCGATATGAGCTCCCATTGACATAATGAGTCTCAGTAAAGTGTTGGCCTATTGGTGTTGCTGGTGCTCAACATATTACGCATTCAAGCCTCTATTGGGAGAGTTTAATCAGCCCAATTCAATATTTGTATTTGCTTAGCTCTCCGTGGTTTTTTGAGCTGGTGAAAATCTCATGACAAGTAAATCAGCTCATCGATAAATTTGTTGAAACGAAGCCCAAGAGAATTATGTCAAATTACATGTGCTCAAATGATGCAGAAGAAACCATGTCAACTGGAAAATTAAATTTATTATTAAGATAACTATCAAAAGAAATCCCCATGCCACCAAATCAAAGCTAGAAGCACTGCTAGCGACAGCTGAACTTAATACAGTTGAGAATACTGTAATACACCTAATACAGGGTCCACAGCATATCATAAAGGAAGACAAACGAACAGATTTCTAACATCCACCATAATCCTTTTCTCCCAGTAAGCCCAAGAAACTTACTCAATTACATTCCAAGGTAATTCACTTGTCAAACTAGAGCGCAGAAAAGGGTTGCCCCTGTAAGTGGCCTTTCATTTTCCACCCCAGATTATAAAATTAGACATCAGAGAACATTTTTTAGCGATATATTGCAGAATCGCATTCTGTAAAGATTTTCCAATTTGTCAAGTCATAATCTAGTTTCAACAAAACATGAAGAGAAAGTTGAGTTGAATAGCATTTCATGTCCTGAGTTACAAAGCTAGGAGTATATGCATAATAAATGAAAAAAAAAAAGAACACAGAAATTACAGCAGAAACAAGTATATTATTACCTTGTAGATCTTGTGATAAAAAACCTCCAGTAACCTGAGTTCAGCATTCGGATGAGATAATTCAACCTAAATCACAATTGAAATAAATATATATATATATATATATATAAAGGGGAACACAGTTGTTAGCCTGGAGAAATGGTTAACCACTATAATCTAAATAATATTGCAACTAAAAGCAATTTCCAAACTCGCTTTCAAGCATGATCTGAATCGTTTATCAAAGAATCAAAAAACACATCTTCCTGTTCCGATTCAAGAATATGTTTCTAGATATTATTTTAGAAAAAGCCAGAAAGATTTACCTTAGTTTTCAGATCATTGATAACATCACCAACAGTGCTGTTTTTGGGAAGTCTAACACTATGAATTACAATCTAAAAAAGAAGCACAAGTTAAAAAAACACCAAAAATTTTATAGCAGCAACAAAAACAATAAAGGAGCAAAAGGCACACTTCATCTTTTGTAGCAACGTGGAATGCAACTTTGAGAGTTTTCAACCCTTGTAATTCAGGCAGAGGGATGTCCAAAACTTCATAATAGAGTATGTCGGAAATCTACAGCAAAGAAAAAATAAACAAATGTATCTATCAACAAAAACTTGGAATTTTTCAAGATGCGCCACTCATATAAGAAAAAGTATAACCTGATTATAATGGACCAGCATATCTGATAGGTGCTCTACACCACGATACTTGATGGGCTGGGGTTTTGGCTGTTGAGAATAGCAATTATGGGATGTAAGACGAATTTTCGATGGATCATCCAAACCAAGATGATGAGCTACCCGTTCTACCACATCATCATAGGTATGAATCTTTGACCTTACAAAAATAAAAAAGAAACAGGGAAAGAATTCAATAACATAAGCAGCAAAATGGTACTTGATATGATTAACTTTCAAACACTAACAGTTCTAAGCGAAAATCATCCTCTTTTGGCTTCTCCAGCGATCGGAAATGAACAACCTAAAACATACATTGGAAAATAAATATAGAATAAATTTGGCCATTGGAGATGATCAAGAAATACCATACATAATAAGGTAGTCAAAGATTTGTTTCTCACAAAGTGATACATTATAGATTTCATAACACAACGGTGCAAATGAAAACAAAATTGTTCATGTAAAATTTACTTGGCATTTCAAATGGCCATAAAAGAGCAATTTGACAACAGGTGCGAAGTACAACCTTGAACAACTAATCTTTATTTTGCATCATTTGTTCAACAATACGAGTAACAAACTAGTGCTCTTTTGATGCTCATCATCAGTCCATAATTCAGAGAGCCTACAGATTAATAAAGTAGATAACTTATCCCAAATTTGTGACTTCTCAATGCCATCTATTTTATTGTACTCCGAATTGAAGTCATGTTTGAACATTAATTAGATAAATGGGGCCTGTATCAAACAAAGATTCCAAGAGGAGAAAAAAAAATACTGTGGTCAAACTGTATGCGATAAATTTAATATCAATAATGTTCATAAACAAAAAAAAAGTAATGTCACCTTATCATCATCACCGTCACTAAGCATATCCCAGCAATTTTTATAGTTGGCTATTTAATGTTATACAATTGAGTGCAATATGAGGTCTAAACTTCAGTTTATGCAAGTTTTTTTTCAACAATTCTAGCCATATTAGATTAGATCTCAAATTTTTCATCTTATTCCTTTCACGATAGTTCTATCAACTTGCCTTACTAGTGCATCATTTGCCATTTGTAATACATACTCAAATCATTTAAGAAAATTTCCCACAACTTGTTGAATACTTAATGATTCCACTCTCCCTCAAATATAATAACTTCCACACTACTCTTCGTGAAGAAAAGAAGCGGAGAACAGGTAAGCATTTTCTTTTCTTGTTCCAAAAAATAGTGAACATAAAGCCCATAAAAAAGCAGAGAAAAAACAAAATAATGAAAGACGGCTAAGCCAATAAAACAGGAGACAAGCAAATAATCTTGGATCCAGGAGACACTAAATCTGGTGAGAAGCTAAATTTCGGGATTCAGGAATAACATATATTGAATGGACCCAAAAATAGTGGACTGAAAAGTGGAACCAATAAGCAAAAGCCAATACATAAATCCTCGATAAAATAGAAACAACATTCCAAACAATGAAAACTCAGATCACTGCAACATTAACAACCTGAATCCACAAGTTGAATATGCATTTATTCATTGATTCATGCAAGAATTAATGATTGAATTTCACTATTGTTCCTGATATTCTACACTCCCTCTCAAGCTGGGCAGTAAATATTTAAAACTCCCAGCTAGTAATTCAATATTTCAAACTTAATTTTAGAAAGTGTGATAGTTAGAATATCAACAATCTGGAAATGTGATGACTGCATAAGAGAGAAATAAAGCCTGCAAATCTTTTCCTTGAAGAAGTGGTAATCAACCTCAAAAGCCTTAAATCGCGCAATGTTGAACCTTCATTGTCACATAATAATTTTATTGGTTCTTCTGCAACCATAAAAAATTCACTGCGGAGTCTTTTTAGCTACATTGCTTCAAAATGCACCGCAAAACTGCTCTAAATTATGCTTCTGTGCTACTTCAAGTTACCAGAATTCTTTATAAAAATGTGCAGTTACCTAAAGCAACCTGCAGTTAGTGCCTAATCATGCTCGATTAACATCTAAACTTCAATGTTCTTAAGCAAAAACAGCCTTTCCACCAGAGTTATTTTAAGTATATTTAGAATCCAAAACACAACATTCCTATGTTTTTCTGTAGGCTAACTGATAAACTGGCTGACCATGCTCACAGAAGCCAATATCAAATCTAATGTTAATGACAGATGAGTTACCAACCAAGCTTTAATACTAGCATTTATCAGCAGGAGGATCATCCTTTTTCATCATAATTTAAGCATTTGGGCCCAATGGAATAAATTGATACTCCTGCTTCTTTCAATATGAAAATAATATATTTGTGTTGAGCTATAAGTATCCATTTGTGAGAGCAAGCTACCTTAATTCCCTTAAAGTATTTGAGATTCCTAATTCTTTAATTTAAGAGTTGGTAGCTAGGAGCCCTTTGATCTTTATTCATTTCGATAATGAAATTCCCTGCAAGGACAACAAAATCAGAATACACCATCAAAATATTAATTTAACTTCAGGAGATGTTTCTATAAACATTGTGTGGTTGACCTGATATTGAGTGAAGCCATATCAAGGGATCAATCAAATCCGGCTCATGGGAAATATTTCAAGCTAGATAGTGATTTTTTTAGTATAAAAACTTTATTAGCAGTAACAAGAGTGAAATCCATGAGTAATGTTCATGCAGAGTTTATCTTCAAAGCCGTCATTGAAGAAGGCCTTCTTGAATCCAACAGACAAATTGGCCGATAAAGATTTAATGCCAAGGACAAGAGGACCTAAATTACATTGTGTAAGCAATACGGGGAATTTTTTTGATACCGCTCTAGGGCTCCTAGAAAGCGTTTAGAAAATGCATCTAGCGAAGATGGGGTTGTGGAGTAACGATAGAATAATAATAAGTGAGTTCAACGGCATCTGGACACGGATAGGGGTTGTTTAACAGCTGCCCCGGCTGAGCATAAAAAAAAAACCTTCAAAACAACAATGTAAAAATAACGAGGAGGTTCACCACTTGTTCCTGCACAACCTACACACAGGCCTCTTTCAAAAAGAAGATACAATATTCCTTAAGGCAGACAGATATTACAATCTCCAAAAATACTCAAAACAGAAGTCAATGTCGCCTAAATTAGAAAAAACAACATATAAAAAGTTCCTAATAGAAAAAAATCATAAAAAAATAAAAATAGGAAATAAAATAGAAACTATAACAATTCTAACAGAAATAGTCAATCGAACAGAAACTGCTCCTCTGATATTCCGTGACTGCAGAAAATTGAGTAATGTGGGGTCTCGCAATTGTGAGATTGCGAGATTTTCGATCCCGCGATTATATGGGGAGCTTCCACTTCATTCTCCCCGACTTGGAGAGGCTTTTCTCCTTCTTCATTGAAAAGATTTGAATCGTACTGAAGAATGTTCATTCCCGCAAAGCTATGGCTCATCACCCATGTTAGTCAATTTGTGTATATGTACACTGCTAAACTGAATTGAAACTCAGTAGTCAACTTCTTTCATAGAATCTTCTATAAATAGCACCAAAATTTCTCATCTTTGTTTGAAGCAATAATATGTTGAACTACTCTCGGTAGGGGTTGCCCTATATTTGATATTAGTTCCTTGAACTCATAGACTTCTTGAACAACCAATGCTAGTCTTATTGGTACTTATTTCACGGCCTAAAAAAAGATAGTTCGTATCACCACATCCTTGAACACCTCGAACTCCATCCAAGATGAGAGTATATTGTGCTTTCCATTTTAAAAAAAAAAATATATATATATAAAAGACG